GTCCACTGGCAGCGGACGGCTGCTCCTCTGGCTACCCTGTCTCTCCTCCTCTCTCCACCACAGTTACTTGCCACAAGGACGCTCTCACCCCGACGTCTATCAGCAGCCTTCCCTCCGCACACCACTCCACTAAGTCTTCACTTTGCTGGGATACCAGGACGCCAGCTTACGCCACCTGCACCCACACAGAACAAACTTCTGCCTCCCACCTCAGTAACCCAGCAAGATACCTTGCATCAGAAAACGGCCTTCAGCCCACCAAGAACCTCCACAAACCGTACCACCCTTTCAAACTCCCTCACAGCAAGTCAGCTCCAGGATTTAGTCCGTCACCACCTGCAGGACAGCATCCATCCCAGCACTACACCCTTGTCATGGAATGCACATTACCACCAACCCAACGGACCAGGTCCCCACGTTGCCTGCAGGACAACAACCAGCGCTACGCTACACCCATGTCGATGACATCACACCAAAACTAACCTAATGGCGATTTTAAAAAAACGATAAGTCGTTTTTTTAGTCTTAATACATCCGAGAAGTCTCATTATCCCGTTCTTTCCAACTCGGTCCACCACGTCACTGCTCCAAAGGGTAAATACAGCCCTGTCACCTAACACCACCACACTACGATTTCAAAGTGTTTCCGTGTTGAAGCGACCCCGCCCCCCCCCAGCAGAGTTCTACATTTCAGACTTTTTGCCCCATCCCATTTGATTTATTGTGCTTGGTTATGGCGCTTTGCTCTCCTTTTTTTTAGTTTTTTGTTGTTTTTTTAGTGCACTAGTCTGATACCCTGGTCTGTAATTAGCAGGAGCTGCACAATACCTGCCTTGTTTTCCCTTTTCCCCTGAAGAGCGCTTAAAATATTGGACTTCCTTTTATAACTTTTCACGAGAAGCAGGTAAAGGCTTTCTCGTTGGGGTAGAGAAATCTCCCAAGTGTCATGGAGAGGTGGAGAGAGGTCAAAAGCTTTTTATTCATGCATAGGCATCACAAAGGAACTGATGATTTGCCTGGAGACGTGTCCAGGAGGGAATTCAAGGGCACATTAGAATCGCCTCCCAGAATGAGCATCCCTTCTGCAAAATCTCATCGGGGAACAGAGTTTACAAAAGAAATGGACTTGCCTGACATTGGGACAGTACATGTTGGCAATAGTTACTGGAATGTTGTTAAGTTTACCTTTTGAGCAAAAGATAGCGACCCTCGGGATCGATCAGTTGGGTTTCAAGCTGGAAGTTAGGACGTGAGGAAAACAGAACGGATACCCCTTTCGTTTTAGAATGGCAGAAGTGGAGCGATATACTGTAGGGCATTTATGGTTATATAATTTTGGGTATGGTGCCCCCTCTAAAATGTTTCTTTTAGCAGTACTACCTGAGCTTTGTGGTGGGGGACAAAGCTCTGAGAAATTGGGAGCGTTTTTCTGTGAAGTTCCGACTTCAGGTTTAGATGTGTTGATAGATAGGATGCCATGTGAGCAAGTGGAGATTGGAAATTGAGGTGGAGAAGAAAAAGGCAAAATGAGAAAAGGCAATTAGAGGGAAGAAGTGGTGAGAGAAATAGAGGGAAAGGACAACTGACGGGTGAGAAGAGAGAATAAGAAAAGGAAGAGAGGGAAAAAAGAGGAGGGGAACAGAAAAGTAAAGACGAGACAAGAGGAAGGACACAAATACAGAAGCAGTAACAACACAAAGAAAATTACAGCGACCCGAAAGATAAGGGAACTGATCCTTCACCTGTAGAAAGGTACAACGCCGTGTCAGATCAACGCGACTCGCACCGTGTAGTGGGCAGGTGGGACTGGTGTAAAGAACCAAGAATGGCCTCTGGGCACCTGGGCCATGTCAAACTGTGGCATAAGGCAGACTGTAACATTATCAATAGCATCACACTGGGGGACCAGGCGGTACCAGTCTATGGAGGATAGCGGAACTGGGAGTGGATCAGAATAGGAACTCTTTTGAGGTGAAATGGGCCCAGTCAACAGTACTGGGAACTGCCCGGGGACGTAGTCGGGGCTGGGGTGAAGGTTGCGGGTATCTATCAATGTTGTAGCAACACTTAGCTGAGGATCAGCAACCAATTACAACAGAATAGTGCAATAACAAACAAACCTGAACTTATCCAGAGACATGAGCACCACTTAGATTAACCCTTTACCTCACAAATGGGGCCATTTAGCTATACTCAACAATCCATAACTATATATATATGGACATACAAAAGGGATTTTTTTTCTGTCCCTGAGAGAGGGTACAGATTGGAGTAGTCAAAAAAGTATCTAGATTAAACAAATTTATTGACTACAAAAATATTGCACATGAATAAAAACCATATGCACTTACCCCAACCCATGTGGCATTGTCTAAAAACACTAATAGACAACGTTGTCTAACTCACTCACACTGTCCACTCATACAGGCAGGATGATACTATGAATGATTGCTTGTCCACCTACAAGAACTCTAGTCCAAATAAGTTGTGCATAAGGACTGCCTATGTAAGAAGCCCTTGAGTGTCTCCACTTACATTCTGATGAAGTCCCGGAAAAATCCCCAGAGGGGTGAAACGCGTCAACGCAACACCTTGGGCGTATGGCTGCTCACACCTGCTAATAACTAATATGCTGGATGAAGGAGCTGTGCATTGCCCATGGAGATCAAGTGTTGATCTATTCTGATTGCTGTCAAAGAAACAGAGTTATTCATCTGTGTGGCAACATATAGGGGCTGTGATACAGACGAGACTGGCAGCCATCCAGTGTGCTTGAAGACTTGCAGCAAACACATGTGAACCACAACTGTGAGTACCACTAAGAAACTTACATGGTTCCGGGTTATCTCTGGAAATGTATTGCTGAGCCACTTAACAGAAAGTGTTTCCTTGTGTCAAACTTTACATAAAAAAGTAACAAATTGCTTAATTTCTCCTTTGCAACTATTCAAGAGGTCTATTCCTTGAGTCTGAATTGTGCTGGATTATGAATCCTCTTGTCTTCATGAATTAACACTACAAATTGTGCTGCAATTATCAATTTATTAGATTTCATGTACAACACCTCATTCCTTCGGAGCTCCACCAGTAATCATTCATTTACACATGGTATCGGCCTGTCTGTGTAAGTAGACAGTGTGAGTGAGTTTGACATTGTCTATTATTAGTGTTTTTAGATCATGCCACATGGGTTGGGGTAAGTGCGTTTTTGGTTTTTATTCATGTGCAATATTTTGTATTTATTAATACATTTAATCTGGATACTTGTTTGGCTACGCCAATCCTTTTTATAACTACTGCGATCTGTACCCTCCTTCAGGGACAGAACAAATCCCCTTTTTAGAATGGACATAGTGCCTGAGATCCAGAGGAGAAGAACCAGGTAAGAGTTCCAAGTCCAAAAGAGGAACGAAGGACAGGCAGCAAACAATGTCAATGAGGCCAGCTGGTGGAACGAAGACACGCTGCATGGAGGCTACCTCTCACGAAGGAGAGTTGGGATGGAGAAGGATCCACTACGTGACGATCTGCAGTGCGGGGCAGGCGATGTTCTGGTGATCGTGGCGAGGAAGGTGATCTTTCCGGGAGCCGTAACGCTTCATACTATTCCGGGAGTTCCACAAAGGAGATGCGAAGCTGCTCACAGAAGCATTGCAGGTCTGCCGGAACTGTAAGAGGAAAGTGCGGCCGGAGGAGGCGGCGGCCAAACCAAATGGGAACCGCCATCTGTAGGCAATGCTGCGGGACCAGAGGAATTGCAGCAGGGGTCGGAGGGCCAGTCTGTGTTGTAGAGTGATGTGTGAAAGGTCCTGGAACAGTTGAAGCTTGGCGTCATGGAAGAGGACACGCGGCCTATCCTTGGCTCTATGTAGGATATCCTCTTTTCGGTCGCAACACGTGGTGAATGCGCCCCGTAGAGACCGGCGGGCTATCGAGGAGGTCGTTAAAGATGTGCATCAGGGTAGGTTCCAGTTGATCCAAGTCCATGGTCTCAGGAATGCCTCTCACTCTTATGTTGTGTCGACGGCCCGTCGTCCGCTGGATGCGCCTTATAGAGGCGGAATGGCAGGAGGACACATCTTCAACCGTTTGTATATGGTTAGCCAGTGAGTGAAGATTGGCTTTCGGCTCTGAAATCGCTGCCAATATCGTGGATTTGATATCCAGGGCTATTGAATGAAGATCTGACATACGGGAGGTTGCGGCTGAGCTGGGAACCTGAATCTCGAGGAGCTTTGGTCGCCGGGGTGTTCTGTCTGGTTTTCCCCATACTTTCAGGTAAGGTAAGGCAAGGCTAGAAGCGATAAGAAGGGAGCTCATGTGCTGGAGGAGAGGATCCAAACATCCATCTTGGTCTCCTTCTGTTCGTGTGTATGTTTTTATATAGTCTAATAAAGCTCTTAAAAAAATTAAATGTTTTTTTTTTTTTTTAGGAAATTTAAACCATCTTTTCTCTTCCATTAATTGAAGGACATAGGGAACAGAGTGTAGATCATGTACCGTAGGGTAATATCGCCACCTGCAGGAGAAGGACGCTGGGCACAAAAGACTAAGACAGCCTAGGGGTATGGAGGCTGCCTTTCTGGAGGTCGTGCTTACCTGGATGGACCTATAGGCTCTGGTCTGGGTGTGCTGCTGGGGGCCCGAGGTTCCCTCGCATGCCTCGGTCCCCCTCCTCTTTCTCCATGGGGGCCTCATGTGCCCGCGGCCTGTCGTGGCTGGTATCCTTGGTCTCCTTGTGATGGAGACCTGGCCTGGCTGTGAGTGGTCCGCGGCCCGGGAGGT